ATGAGTGGTGTTTTGTTTTTGATTTGTGTTGTATGTGGTGGGGGGGGGGGGGGGGGGGGGGGGGGGGTTGCCCCCCCCCTTTTGTTGGACTGCTTCCCACCTCGAATTCCGTAAAGCTCTTGCGCTTCCGAACACAGCAGCACCGTTCATGACGTGCCGCGCAGACATCAGTTTCACTGCAGCGCTCACGTGAAGGTGACGTACCTCAGGAACCCAGCTCTGCACACATCACCAGCCATTGAGATTAATAACATTCATAACCAAGAGTGTCTTAAACGAGGAATTAGATGTACACATTTTGTTTTTTCAACATGGATTAAAGCCTAAAGCCTAGGTTAGAAACAAACAAAACTTGAATGTTTCCGGTGCTCTCCATAAAGTGTCTCACGAGAATTACAATTTTTAGATTTTGAAGAGGTTAAAAAAAGGTGCTAATGAAAAAAAAAAAAAACTGAACGCTGAGTGTGTGTGTGTTACTGTTAAAGAGAATGAGCATACCAGAATAATTTGGGTTGGTTAAATTGAATGTAAAAAGTATACGTGGTTCTCACAACTGTTCTTACTGTACATATATCTCGACCATTAAAGTGAATGTACAAACAACTCGTGCTAAGGAGAATGTGTATGCTTCTAGAAATCGACTTAGGTAGACTAACTATGTGGCTAAAAAACTTTTGTCTGTTGGTTTCTAGCTCTAAATACAGGGGGTCATCGGTTTACGACGACCTCGACCTACGGCGTTTCGTCATTACGTCTATAAGTATCTTACATTGATTCATTAAGAAAATTGTGTTCCATCAATCCAATATATGCCATTTAAACAACACCAGGAATGAGTTGGCGAGTGGAGCCGACGAGGAGCATCATATAGCATGGTTAGGCTATATGATGTCTATGTGTGCCTTTACCAGTTGTCGGCGCTAATCGGACTCTAGATTGCGATGTTACCACCGTGTTAGCGTAAGTGACATAGGAACTCAGAGTTCTGACCTAACGGTGAAAATCGGGTTATGTCTCACCTGGATGTAAGTTTCCTTTATCCTGCCTTAATCTGGACATGTGTGATTCGGTGAAGAACGTGAACCAAGGACTTCAAGGATCCTCCTGTTCTGCGAACACGTCAACAGCCTAGAAATAGAATAAAACAGATAGTCAATTATTTGTTATTGTGACACGCAACGAAAACAAAACACAAACCCATCACCAATGTGAACAGTGGGCAGCTTTAAGCACCCGGGGAGCAGGTTTTCTTTCGCAAAAGCTTTCGACTGTGCTATGTTATAGAAAAATGCAAATAATATCTGTCCTACATCCTGCTGTTACCCTGTACAATGACTCACGGTAATGTGACAGATGATCATCTGGTCTCTGTCTTTCCTGCCAGCCTGTTTTTTTTCCAAATGTTGGGCAATCTGCACATGTTGTGTCACGTAATCCTGCATATATAAGTGCTTATTTTCTCAACTAAATTATTTCATATTTTTTACTTTATCTTAATATTTTGTGATAGCTTGCTGTTAAGGTTACTTAAGAATAAGTCTACGTTGTCGTAATTCTGTTTGCAGTGCATGTGATGAAACATGTATGACTTTTCAAATTGTGCAGGTATTTTGCTGGCTAATATAGATATAATGTATTATATATATATACATACTCTATATGTATGTGTGTATGTGTGTTACATATAAATAGATATACACACATATATACTCATACATATATATGTATGTAAGCAATACATGTAAAATGTAAAATATATATTTGTATATACATATATACACACATATACATATTTATGTACTGTATATGTATGTGTATATATAAAGTAGCTATATATACACACATATATACATATATTTATATCGTTATATGTGTATACACATATATAGATATATATATAAACATTTTTCATATATACATATATACACATATATACATCTATATATATATATATACACATATATACACATCTATATATATACATATATATACAACTACCTACACTTTTATCACCCCATGTTTTAAAATACCTGTTACTAATACCTGATCTATAATGCAGGATTTAAAGCCCAAGAGAACGTCAACGTCCCCCCGGAGGTTGCAGAAATCCTTAGCCAAACACTAGAAATGTGTTCACTACATTCCATCTTTTTCTCATCTTGTCTGGCTCATCCCTGTTTCATTATTCTGGCAACGAACATGCCCAGAGATGTTCCCTACCTTACTGTGAGATGGATAATCTATAGTCTGTTTTTTTTTTTCTTCCCCCCAACCTTTGGCTGATCTGGCTTGACACTACCACCAAGTAAGACTGAGACACGAACAAATTAAGGAGGCGCTCTAAATGGGAAACAAAGAGGGCTGAAATATAAACGTTTTGACGTAACAAGAGAAGATTCTCTTCCTCTGTCACACATGCTTCCGCAGCTAGGCCAGTAATCATTTGTAACTCCACTCATGTGTGCGCGAGCATGTTCGCTGCTCTCACTCCAGTGCTGTTATATAGACAAGTGGTGTGAAATCGTTCGGTTCATGGAGCCGAGCAATCTCCTTGATGCAAAGACCTGCATGTTCTTTGGCCTCAGTGCGCATTGCCAGCATCTCTCTCTCTCTATCTATCTCTATCTCACCCTCTCTCTCACACACACACACACACTCCAGCTACATCCATGGTTTTTTTTATCTAGGAAAAGAGCGGTGGGAGAAAGGGAATCATTTCCACAGATGTCTCCTCTATCAAATGTGCTTTATCAACACAGCTAACATTAGTAAAGCAGTTTATGGGAAAGACTGATGTCCACGGGAGAGCAATAGACATCTGCTGGGACAGTGGCTGTAGTGTTTGGCCATGGTTCCAAGGCCCCGCTGCGTTCACGAGATTGTCGGATAATTATCCTATTGACATAAAGCTTAGATTTGAAAACTGAATGGCCAAAAGCCATATTCAGCAAACACAAACACACGCACACTCACATACTCTCTCTCTCTCTCTCTACTCCAAGCTAACCGTCTGTTTAAGATGGGTGCCAGTAGCCACTGAACCTCCTCTGCAAAACATACTGCCAAGTGAATAACCAAAACCATGCAAGGCTATAGTCTTACTATTGCGAAAAAATGCAAGTCCCAGAAATTCCTTGAAATGCAACCTATCGTGAAAAAATCCAAAAAAAAAAAAAGGCCCGGGAATGCCTCAAAATGGACATTTATGCACTAAAACATGTGAATAATTTGTGCTAAAAATTACAAAAACTATCATACCTGAACATGTCAAAATAATACCTGAAGTCCCAAAAATGCCTATAATGCAAGATTATGTCCTAAAA